TTTAATATTAATCTGGCTTAAAATCTTACTATGTAATGTTCATTATTCGGATTTCATGTCATTAAATTAAAAGACTGAAACTAATTATAATCACTGATATTGGTACATTAAAGGACATTGAGTGATCTTGTAAGATTTCTAAATAATATTCAAGCATACAATTCTTACATCAAATAATAATTTTATATGAAAATATATTGCAGATCGCAGATGATGTGAAGAAAATACAAAGGAAGCTGATGTTGAAAGAAGTAAAGAGTATTTAAAGAAGTTTTTATGAATGGACTTAGATGTGAAAGACTTTTTCATTGTGTACCAAGATATATGATTTTATTTATTTTGATATCATTTTCAAATAATGTTTTTGCACATCAAATGAATTATTAAACATATGATTTGATAATGCTTTTTCCTTTTTATACATTTTCTTGATAGATTTTGAAAAGAAAATACAGTTTACCAAGGAAATTAATAATATATATTTTGATTTAAACCTGCTGTTCTCTTTTCACATTCTAGACAAGAAAGATTAACCATGGAAAATACAGGGATCCTTGAGCTTCCAGTTGCTTGTCAAACATTTTTCGAAATTGAAATGCTCAACCTACCCTGTAGTTTCCATGGTATGGAAACTATTACACCACAATTACACATTGCTTCCCGTCTCAGAAAAATAAGGGAATCTTGAAGTTTCCCTGTAATTTCCTTTTATGAGACACCAGATAATTCCACCAAGTTTCCATCACATGGAAACCGCTACGCTCCAATTCCATATAGTTTCCTGAGTCATGGAAACTTGAGGAATCACGAGGTTTCCTCTAGTTTCCGTTCATGGGAAATCTGAGGATTCCATCAAGTTTCCATTCCATGGAAACCACTACGCTCCGATTCCACATAGTTTCCTAATTATGGAAACCAGTGGAATCTTCAGGTTTCCAATTACGGGAAACTACATGGAGGCTCAGGAAACTTCAGGTTTCCTGAGGTTTCCGTGGTTCGGGATACCTTATGGAATCGGAGCGTAGTAGTTTCCGTGGTACGGAAACTTGACGGAATAACCTGGCATCCGCTGCGGAAACCACTAGGAAACATGATGTAAACATGAGGTTTCCATGTGGTTTCCATATAGTTTCCCATGACGGGAAACTGCTTATTTCACCCAGTGTGAGATACTGTAAAATCATTAAATTTTGTGGGTGTTTTATGGCATAGAGAGACCCACAAATATATGTCCTCCACGAAATGTAAAATTCAGATATATATCAACCAAGCTTTTCTTCATTCACAAAGAAAATCCCCTTCACCAACTCATTTTTTCTTCAAACCACGAAAAAATAACCCCACGAAAAATAGGTGATCTTACACATGTTTACCCCTTTATCCCGTGGATATCACTCATTGGATTTTTTTTTTGATATCCCACAGTAATGACGTCACAATGCGTTTAAGCGTGAGAGTGGAGAAGTAAAATGAAGTAGATTCCTATATAAAAACAGTGTAAAACATTGATTGTGATGTATAAAACATAGGATAAAAAGAATCTCCCATGATTTGTGGTTGGATATGAATTCTATCCAACTCGTTGTGAGTTTTTTATCCCCTCGCTAAGGCTCGGGAGTAAAAAAACCACACAACTGGTTGGATAAAAATCATATTCAAGCACAAACCATGGGAGTTCCTATATATACATTACATATATTTTTAGTTTATTGTTACTGTAGTAAAAAATGGTGAGCCCATGCTCATTAATGTGTGAAGTGTTGTATGACCACATGCACTTGAAGATGGCATATTTTGGAGAGCAATGTTATTTTAAATATTTTTGTGAAGGTTGTAATTGGGGGAAATTTTCATTTTTTCTCATATGCTGAGACATATGTATTTTTAAGTATTTGGTGTTATAAATAGAAATGGAAATAATCTCCGCAGATTATTTTGCATTTTAGCTAATGCTCTCTTGTTCTTGTCAGTCACATTAAATTAATAATAGTTAGTCTGCAAATTGAGCATCCCTTATGTTAGAAATAGGGCAAAAATCTATATATATTTCCTTGATTATTTGCACTATGTCTATTTTTAGACATACACGTATGTTGCTATAAATAGAAATCGAAACCTCCGCTGATTATTCTGCATTTCAGTAAATGCTTTCCTGTTCTTGTCATTCACCTTTTGTCAATAACAGTTAATAATAGTTAATCGGCAAAATTTCCATTCCTAGTGTACGAAAATCTATATTCTCTTGATTTTTTGCAATATGTCTATTTTTAGACATGTGTTGCTATAAATAGAAATTGAAACCTCCATTGATTATTCTGCATTTCAGTTAATGCTCTCTTGTACTTGTCGGTCACCTGATGTCAATAACAGTAAATAGCAGTTAGTCTGCAAATTGTCCATCCCTAATGTAAGAAACAGTGCAAAATTCTACATTTCTTCCATAATTATAAAACGTTTGTTACTATAAATAGAAATGGAAACCTCCGCTTATTATTCTGCATTTCAGTTAATGCTTTCTTGTACTTGTTGTTCCCCTTATGTTATTAACAATTAATAGCAGTTTGTCTGCAAATTGTCCATCCCTAATGTGAGAAAATAGTGCAAAATTCTACATTTTCTTGATAATTTGCAGAATGTCTATTTTTAAACAATTGTTACTATAAATAGAAATGGAAACCTCCGCTTATTATTCTGCATTTCAGTTAATGCTTTCCTGTACTTGTCAGTCACATTATGTCAGTTACAGTTTATGACAGTTAGTATGCAAATTGTTCATCTCTAATGTGAGAACTAGTGCAAAAATCTACATTTCGTCGTTAATTTCCCATGTGTCTAATTTTAGACATTTGTACTATTTATAGAAATGAGAGCCTATCCTCAATAATGTGTGAGTTATTGTATTATCCCATGTTCTAATTGATGAAATATTGGTGATAGCAGTATGTTTATCACTTATGTTTTAGTGGAGCTTCTAAATGATAGAAAATAGTCATTTTTACACATATTATGAGACATGTCTATTTTAAGGCATTTGAAGCTATAAATAGAAAACGGAACTCCCTTCAAATAATATGCATAGTAGTTATTGGTGTCCAGTTTCTGTCATTAACATATTGACTTTTACAGTATATTTCTTAAATACCTACCAATGGCATCTTAAACTCTGCCCAAATTTGATTTTTTAGATTTTTCTGAAATATGTCTATTTATAGATACATGTTACTAAAAATAGAATTGAGATCCCACTCCAATTTTTTCATGAGGTGACACTCCTAATTCTGAAGTATAAAACACACATAAGATTTGAAAAATTTCCGTAGACAATTTTTTTTATTTAACTTTAAAGTTCTCAAAAAATACCAAATTTCCCATTTTTCACATTTTCAGAAACAATGTCATTTTACAGGACCTTTTTCTTAGAGTGGGAATAATTCTGGAATAACCGATTATATGCCCTGTATACCTTAAAAGTTGATGTTTTCTTATGATACAATGATTTGTGTTTGAGTTTACTACATAAAGACAAAAATGCATTTACATTTCCTCAATTTTCATGTTTTTATTTGGTCAAAAAGGGCCAAAAATGGCCAAATTCAATTGACCCGTCTCCATGGCAACCGGGTGCACGTGTGAAACTTCTAACACCATATTTCCTAGTTTTGTGCCAAGATGCACCTATGGTGCAAATTTCATCAAAATCGGAGAGATGTCGTTTCCAAGCCCTATAGTAAATTTTTTGGTGCTTACAGAGAATGCATGTTAAGTCAATGCATTGTACTACTAATTGGTGTAAAGGTGAGCTTGAGATTTGAAATGAATCTTTCCATGTTTTCAGCTCGCAGAAAAAAATACCAGAAATTTTATCCAACAATAAGACAGAAATATATGTCCAAAATGTACATTATTAATTAATGAATTTGGCTGTTTTTTTATTCTACCATATTAAACATTATGTTAAACATACCAGTGAATGCACAATAAATATTCTCGACTAGTTACTTCCCTAGCGTGGTGCAGTGGTTAGAGTGTTTGCTCTACAGTCGCGGAGTAAGGAGTTGATCCTTACAACGTGGGTTCGAATCCACTGAGTGACACATCCTTCGGATGAGACCGTATAAACCGAGGTCCTGTAGGTGCTGGCACGAAAAGATCCTCACAGCACAAAAGCCGTATGTGCCAAGTATAGGTCTGAATTTGCAGCCCTGCCACGGTAAGCGGTGGCGTCTCAATATGAGTGAAAAATTCTCAAAGGGATGTTAAACAAACAATCAAAATTACACATATCACAAAAAAGGTTAATACATGTAATTAAAGTAGGTGCATTTATAATATAATTTAATTATAAGTTACAGTAGTATTAAATTATAATACACATATAAATGTAAAATGAATGTCTATGTTATATTAACATTTATTAAACATCACAGTTTCCTTACTTAAACATAGGTTGATGACAAATGGTTCATTTAACTTTTACAGATATACACGTGTATGCCACAATTAAAACAGCAACACAAACAATTGCCAATGGCATTCTATAAAATTACAATAAACTAATTCATGGGGCATTTCAATCTGTGTAAGTCACTTCACTCAAAGTCCCTAGATTAGTATTATGTCTTTACTGATTCTTTCCTATGTTAAATTAGATGTTACATATATGAGAATTCCCTAGAAATTGCTGTGAATGACTAATCACCAATTTGTCATGCATAAGCAAAGTGAGCTAATCCCTGCTTCGAAAATTGCATCGGTGCATAAAAATAATTTTGAAAAAGTATATCATTGAGGGATTTAGCAAGAGTCCAGTTTCCCTTGACCAAGACTATTTCCCCAAGCTTTGACTTGAAAAATAGTCCCGGCCTTGAGGAAACATGCTAAATCCCTCAATGATATACTTTAACTACATATTAAAATAAAAATTAACAAGGCAGTAAATTTAATCTTATAACATAACTGATGACTGATGCTAGAACTCAATTCTTAATTGTAAAACCAACCTGTAGCACGCCTTGATGTGGCCTAGAAGATCACTCTTGGATGTAACATTCAACCTGTCAATTAAATTTTAATTAAAAAAATCAAAGTAAAAGTAGCTTTTGTTTCATTCTTATTTTCTGAATCTCCAGAATTACTTATCATAAAAGCAGTAAAGACTCTGAAATAAAGTCGCATGTATTGTGCAAATCTTGACAACAAATCTGCTCCAAATTTGTAACGTGTCATTGAACTTTCAAAATTGAATACCGTTCGTTATCTTCATATTTCATGCATATGTCTTTCAACTTCTGCCTTAATTATTCTCAAAATTCTTGTTAATCATAAGGTATAGTTTAAAATTAAAAGCATACGCAAGATTAATTTGAAGAACTTAAAAGAGTTTATGCCTAAATAGCAAGCAGAAATGTATGTATGTTTATTTATAAGTAAAATCTTAGAACCCTGTTGAGAATCCAATCCCTCTTGAGAGCCAATACGTAATGAAAATTAAATTTTAATTAATTTACACAGTCTGACCTCACATATAATTCTTTCAATAGAAAATTATACTAATGACTGCATTAACTTTTAATTCATTCTAATACATGTATATATGTTCATGGATACTAAGATAAAGAGTCTTTTGAACAAAATTCAGACCATTTTGTATGTCGTTATTTTGTTCGAGGTTGAATTGACTCAGCAGTTGCCCATGGAAGTCAAGAAAACAACGGTATGATAAAACTAACATCTGAAAAACTTTAATCCAAAAAATTTAAAAGCCATTGCACACCTGTCAAAAGCTTTCTTGTAAACTTTGGCCAGCTCAAATAGTCTTCCAATCTTCCCATCCATCAGCTGCGACACTCCATCAGGTTCTGTAATCAAAGATTAAAGTCAACAAATATATTTAATCCCATCTAAATCTATGATAAATGTTTTAAACTTAACATCTTTTTCAGGGGCCCTCAATGATTCTTTTGTTTAACATCTAAGAAAAAAATATTCTGTATTGGATTAAACAACTGTATATCCTATGTGTCGGATCTATTTTATAGATACAAGGTCAAGGATTGAATTTTATATGAAGCACAAAAAAATGACCAACGACACGAACAATTAATCAAAGTACTGAAAGTACTGAAAGCCGGGCTTTAATATGTTCGAGTGTATTGTCTAATCCTGAATTAGTACATATTTTAAAATCTTTCTTTCTGACCATTGATATTTAACAGGTCGAGTTTGTATGATTATAATTAACAATAACCCGTCTACCAATAATTAAAATTTACGGTCCAGAACCCAACGTTAAGACCCCAGGATAGGACTTGGTGATATTTTTAATGAAAATACATTTATACCTTTCTAAACATTAAGCTCACAGTGCACTTTGAGTGGTTTTGCTGATTCATACAGGCACATATATAGTATCGGAGGTGCTAGGGGTGTCACCATTTTTCAAACATAAACTTTTACAATGGACAATGTACATTGAAAGGTTGATTGACTCTTCGCAATCAAATTTAAATTGGAACTTTCAACTCACTCTTCGTAATATAAACCAGGTATTTATCACGAGCGACGAACAGATTTACTAAAAGCAAAATGGATAGTCTAATTTTAATTAGATTGTACCCATCATTTTTTTGTAGCATATTAAAAGTACGGTAATTTGGTAATGAATTAATGAAATTCGAAATGTGAAAGTAAGTTGTAGCCCACCCCTACTCCTTCTCCAACGGAATAGGATTTTTTGGGTTTGGACAATTCTCCTTTTTCTGATAATGATACTACATGCCTGTATTAATCAGAAAAGAAATATTCTTTATTTTTGGTCCTCTAGGAAACCAGCTGCACGAAAATTATAATTATCTAATCTTTATGACATGAATATGAGTCTAGTTCTAGTTCCAGGTTCGGCCATAATGGTCATTGTCTGAGAAAATCATGATGTATTCAGGTCTTTATGGCTCGTACATAGATGGCTCTTCATTCTGAACAGGAAGTTTTGAAGCAAAGACTAACCAACTTTTTATGAAAAATTATAATGTGTTGTACTTAGATAAAGACTAATGAACATTATTTTTTATATGTTGTTTTCTTTTAATTATATATTAACATAAACGATTTTTATTTCCCAGCACCCTTGAGAGCTTGCATATGTTTTAAGACCATTTTTTTTTTTTGGAATGCGCGCGCACGCTCAATATACTGTAAAGCGCTTTGGGAGCACATGCGAGATGAATCCAATTAAGGTGAGAAGTCTCGAACAAAATTTTCACATTCAAAATATACCATTGACTTTTCACTAAAAATTTGATCTGAATTTGTAAGCATAAAAATTTTCGACGCTAAATTGATTGTTAAATGGGTATAAATAATTTATATATTATACATAAACATATTCACATGAAATTTCTATCTTAAAGTTTACATTTTTATTTATTTATATTCCATGCTTCACAGGATATAAATCTTTATCCCAGTCATTTAAATCAATACTATTAAATTAAAATATTAACCAGATGGAATCGCATTGTTTATTTCATATTATGAAAGAAAAGAAATAGTTTTGAACTTCATTTACATCACCTTTACACAAGATCTTAGTCGCCCGCGTGGCGCAGTGGTAAGAGCGTCTGCTCTAGAGTCGCGAAGTAAGGAGTTAATCCTTACGTCTCGGGTTCGAATCCCACTGTGGGACGTGGAGACCGGTCCTTCCGTTGAGACCGTATAAACCGAGGGCCCGTGTCGCAATAGGTGCTTGCACGAAAAAGATCCCTCACTGCTCAATGGCCGTAAGTGCCGAGTATAGGACAAAAGGGAGCTCTCCACCGTCAAGTGGTAGTGTCTCCATATGAGTGAAAAAATTCTCGAGAGGGACGTTAAACAACATACAAACAAACAAACACAAGATCTTTACCATCATAAGGATTTTTGTTCGAAATTATTTATTAGAAAGGAGAAAGTTATTTTAATTGCATTCAGGGTTATCGAAGTAATACCGTATTTTCAAACCCTTTTCTTTAAACGCATTCAAATCTTAACTTTTTTATTTGAGTAGTAATATATATATTGAAAACATTTCAGCATTACCAGTATTACAACTGTAAGATTAATCTTCATGAATATTTACATACATACATCATTAGGCTAAAAAAAATTTGTTTGTTTCCGGTTATACCCGACTGACCTCCTACACATTTTTTTTCAGAAAATTACGAGTATCCGTAACTGTCTCTTTGTTTTACGAATTCGTAATGGCGGCGCACTTGTTTGCTGCAAGTAGTCGGTGTTCGCTGTTATTTTATGCCGTTAATATAATAATAAAATCATCATCTTTTTGCAATTATTTTGAAAGGAAAATTTTAATAAATTGTCTCATGTTAAGCCGTTTTCACAAGATCAACCCTGAAAATATCAGCAGGAATTAACACGGTATCGTACCAAATTACATCTGATAAATGACCACCGATGTTTTTAAAATTCATTATTACATTAAATTTCTTGCCATTCAAGACACCTTAACGCTATACTGATCTTAAAAAAAAAAAACAATTACAGATATCACGACATTGTCAGTGGGCTTACTGTTTATACATGCATCACGGACGTAAATAAATATAGGTCAGACTAATTATACTATAATATCAGTAAACGAACAAATTGTCATACATTTTTTTTAAATTCTACCAATAACATATGGCTAGTGAGGGGAATATATAAGTCATTTGTTTTATTTAATGTCACTAATTTAAACATTTAAGGTAACTAATTTTAACTTTTAAGAAAACAATTAATTTTTTTACAAAAAATGTTTGCCTGTCAATTGCCAAACTTTTTTTTAAAAGAATGTTGAACCATATGGTTTGCTGATTTTTCTTTAGATAGATTTGAATTAGAATTTAATGTTAAAAAAAATTAAATTCATATTGGTTTAATAATTTATGTAATTCATAGTTAAAGAAATGCACATATTTTTAGAGATATTCTTAAAGTTTCAAACAAACACTACTTTTATCGCCGACTAGATACACCAGATACACCATGTACAATTGTCATGCGACCTAATTCAGGCATAACGCACTTTAATTCTTTAAACTCCAATTTACTTATCTACAGGTATTTATTTGCTGAAAGACAAAACAGAGAATATAACCACTCACATAACATCGACGAAAACGATATGAAATATAGGCAACCTGTCGAAAAGCCCGCGCTTATTGAAAATAGTTCGCTTACAATATGCATTCAGTAGCGTATGTGCACAAATTGTTATATCACGGTAATAATAAACTAAATATCTAATTCCTCTTTCAATTTAATTCTCAAACAAAAATATTGATCAATAAACAATTCCGTAGATTGAGATGTAAAAAATATTTGTTTAAGTATCGTCTTTCAATGTGACTATTTTGTTTATCGGAAGCGTCTGCTTTGACGCTGTTAGGCTTTTTGTTTACTTTTCTGAACATGTGCTATTTATGGTAAGGCAGTCGATCACGATGCCTACAGCCAGGACTTTGCTTTCAGCAAAGCCCGGCTAATACCAAAGCCCGGCTAAAAACTGTCAAATTTTCGAGACGCCCTGTCCCTTCCTCAGGACAAAGAAAAAAGTTATATGGAGTCATAAAAACAAAAGAAATACAGAAAAAATAACAATAAGCAATATAACTACTCTACCAAACACTATATATTACGATGTTACATGTTTATGTATCCAATCCATCTGATACATTTACATTTTCAGACAAAGTCTCAAGATCCTTTTCATATTCAGCCCATCGTCTAGCGTATATTTAGCCCATTGTCTAGCGTAATCTGGATGTAACCAAACGTTAGTATGTTTAGACATGGATGTACTGTGTATGTTAATTTCAAATTATCCTCGCCAGGTTGCCAAGTATTTGTATTTTTTGTCCATTAATTAAATATATAAATTTCTTACTTATTGTGCACTAGACCTGGATCTGTATAGACTGTAAACAGGGGCTTGCACTACACGCACCAATGTGTTATACCTTACACCGCACTAGATGGATTAATGTTAGAAAGGAGACCAGATTATGCTAGGTTTACATCATGTGAAGTTCTACACATGCACATTCACAGTTTGGGGAACTGAGACAAAGCTGTTAGCAATGAATTTGTCTTGGTAATGTTTGTCAATTAAAAGTCTTTTTACATTCATGGTTTTAACATGGTAGGATTCTTATCTGTTAAACCACGGCGCAATCCGTATCACCAACCCTTTTCCACATAAGTTTTTATTTTTCTCTGTAATTTTAAAATGGAAATTACTAGTACTCGACAATAATAATTAAAAAACATATTATATACACATAATGTGTTGACTGGCTCTATCACGCCACAGTTGAGTCTCATCACTTTGGTTTTCTCAATGTTTATTCTGAGTCCAGCATGACTAGCAGTTTCGGTGAGTTTTTGTGTCTTTTGTTGGATGTCCCGAAATTTTTAGGAAAGTAGAGCAAGATCATCTGCGAAGTCTAGATTTTCAAGTTTTGTTGTGAAATTCCACCTTATTTCTGTTGGTTCCATTTCTGTAGTTCTCATTCTGAAATCTATAACCAACAAAAATAGGAATCCGCTTAAGTTTCGTTATAGCCTTGATGATTTTTTCCTTTCCGTATGGGGCTTGTATCTATTTCTTCTGCTAGTTGTCCTTTGTTTTCAGCTTCTAATGGGTGTTCAGGTTGTGGGCGGTTTAATATTTCTTGAAAGTGCTCTTTCCACCTTTTTTTCTTTCATCTTGGTTAGCGCTGCTCAGGATCTTGCCCTCTTTGTCCTTTATTGCTGTTGTCATGCCTTTCTTCTCATTATTTAATACTCTAGTTATCTCATACACTGTGTTCATGTGTCCATTACTTGCTGCTCTTATTGCTTCTGTCATCATGTCTTCTATCCACTTTCTCCTGTCATTCCTTATGCTTCGTTTTACCTCTCTGGCTTTAATTGAATATTTCTTTCTTAAGCTTCTTTTTAACCTTTCTGATTTGCTGTTTGTAAGTTGGAGTTTTAGCTGCTTCCTTTCTTCTACCACCTTCCAAGAGTATCTACTTATCCAAGATTTTTGTCCCTTTTCATTTACTCCAAGTATGCTGTCTGCTGTCTCGTTGTAACCTTTTATCATACTTTCCCAGATGTCTTCAACACTTTCCCATTCTTCTAGCACTTGGAATCTATTTTTGAGCTGCAGCGTGAATGCCCTCCTTTCTCTAGCTGTTGTAGTTTTATGACATCATATTTCTTTCGATCTGCATTTTGCTTTTGTTTCTTCAATTTTCTTCTGATCTTACTCCATATCAGTTCATGATCACTGCTTGCATCAGCTCCTCTCATCGCCCTTGTATCTGAGATGAATGTTCTGTGTTGCTTTGATATAAGCATGCACATGATCAATTTGGTTTTCGGTCTTTTCATCAGGTGAGATCCAGGAGATCTTGTGTCTTGGCTTATGAGGAAATATTGTTCCCGTAATCACTAAGTTGAAGTTGTTAATCTCGCACATATCCAATAGTCGGTCTCCGTTTAAATAAATCATAAGCAAAAATAAGAATTTCATTATACTTGACTGTGCACAGGGTATCACAACGGTCCTACGGCGCAAGACCAGAACGTCTGGGTTTTATCTGGGAATATTCGGGTATTATTTCGGAATATAAATATTAAATAGATACGGTTGGGGTAAAAATTATCAGATTTTTAATTCATTATCTACTAGGCCTATGTCGTGTCATTTGTAAAATTTCAAAGAATTTGCTTAATTTTTGGCAGTTTTCCGAGACTTTGAAATTGGGAAGTGGTAAACGCAAAACGACGACGTTTGATGACGTTACGGCGCACCGGAGAGCAGTTTTTTTTTCAGTAATGACGCCTCTCGAGATTTTAAATGATAACAGAATATTATAAAATATGAAAATATCGCCAAAGCATTAGAATACAGTGGAATGGGCATTTTTTTTTAAACGGGAGCCTTTTGATCGAGCCCCCCCGGTTGATCAAAACGTTCAGAGAATCAGCTATTAGCAATAAAGAAATACGCTTTTAATGCAGACCGTCGAAAAAAAGAATGCCTATTTAGTTCAGTGAAAGTGAGAGTACTTTCCATAACTTACTAATACAAGTTTTGCAATACAACACATGACATAAAATCCCATATTTTGTATATTTGAGCATATAACTCTGAAATTTGCTCTGTATATTTGAAAAAATTTACTAAAGAGTAGTAATAAATAAATAGAAAGCAGTGTTGACTGTTGATTATTTTTCACTCTAGACAACGTGTCCATGAATTTACAGGACAACCCTCCAATAATGTACTCATAATTTGACCATACTGATATAACTGTAAATGCCCTTGAGGACCCTTGATTGGTGAATAAACAATATATACATGTGACAGGATGTTCAATATTTTGTAGTTGGATGTAGAATTTGTTGCACAAGTGGGTCAGGGTTTTGAAAAATATTTTTGTCTTGTTGTAATTTTGAATTTACTGGGTGGCAGTAAATACAAAGTATTTAATGCCACCCAGTGAATTCAAAATTTACAACATGGCATTTTTATGATTGCGAAGCACGAGTGAAAATAAATTTTGTCTAATGAGTGAAATGATTTCCATATCTAACAACACAAAATATTTCATTTTTTAATTTATTATTATTTGTTAATAAGCATAAAATATTTTTACCTTTTAAGATATCGTTAAGATACCCTATGAGTGCCTCCTCTGTTGTCTGTATGTCTGTTAGTGCTTGCTTCAGATCTTTTACCGTTTTGTCTGCATCAGACCATGCAGACATGATGGACCTAATCAACCACTCAAAGGGTGGTGATCATGTAAACTTTGTAACTGACCACTTTACGTCCTAAAAATAGCAAAAACGTTTCTTAACCATTATTCCGGGAAAGGGAAGAGTCTCTGTGGACGACATATCGAATGCCTCAAATGTACCAGTCCCGTGTACACGATGTAAATGTACTAGCTAGTGCATGTTGTGCACGGAACTAGGAACAAAAGAAAATATACTCTCCTTAGATGTTATTTTCATTAAATGTACTTATTTGCAAAATCATTTCCGAGTACTAAATTCTGATCCATGACCTTACATACCATCGCCCCCTGTATGTAAACAAAGCCTAGTCCGGTTTTCACTTTTACGTTTCGTTTTCTGTTTCCTATTTGCGTTTACGGAGAATGTTTTCTTAGTAGTTTCTGTGAGGTAATAATGAAAGTAGAATAGTATGATAATGGTATTTAATTACTTAGTAGAAAAACTGTGTTTTGTGCACCACGACATGAAATTGCATAAAAAGGAGGTGGACATGCATTGTACACTTTTGTATGCAATTTGTATGCAACTCTCTCAACCGTCTGAGAATTTTTTTGGATACAAAAGTTGTCAAAAATATATGAATTCATAACATATCATACCTACATTCTATTATCTCATAATATTTCCTAATTTTCTTCTGTCAGAGACAAATAGCAGTGTAATTTATGTCCCAGGTTACATGTACGTTTTAGAGATTGACCCTCAACCTGCATATTTACCAGGCTGGATTTATTTTAATTTCAGCTGCGGGAGGACATGACAAAGAATTTGTTTCGCATATTGAAAACTCCAGAGACAGCCAATTGAAACTCCTCATATGTCTTGCACACTCAACAATCACAACCCTCTGATTGACTCTCTGGTGAAGGAAAGTTTACAGATAAATAATTGCTTATTTAGGACAGGTGAAAGATTTTGACAGGGTATAAATAGACCAGACTTGTAGAACATTATCTCCCTGGTCTGCCTCTTGCATAAATTTCATTGATAATGCTGTATTAACATTGAAAATCTCAAAGTTGAACCTCCTGTTTGTTAGAAGATTTTGTCTCTTACCTTTAAAGGTGCATAGACACAGATTTGAAGTTTATATTTTCTCAAATTTTCTGTATAATATCACAACTTATATATTGCTATAGCATTTCAGACGAAAATAAAATTAAAAACTTATTTAATCTGGAAATTATTGAAACTACAAATTTCAGGAGGCGTTTGATTAACGCATCCTTGCGCTTTCACAATTTTTAACTTTATCCTCAATACTTAAGAAAAGTAGCAATGTTGTTGTGTATTAATGAATAATATTACATCTATAATCCAGAAAATTCAGAGTAAAAATGTGCGAAAGCAAAACCCACTCACTTAAGTATTGTCAGCCCGTGCTCAGTGTTGTGTAGTTGTGTACAGAGTTTAACAAATTGAATACACTCGTGAAACGTAAACTGTTTTTGTAAACAGGGCACGAGCTCTGTTGTTGTTAATGTTCATGTTCCACCGGGTGTGCTCAATTGTTAAACTCTGCACACACCACTGAGCACGGACTGACAATACTGGTGAGAGGATTTTGCTTTCTACATTTCTACTCTGAAATTTCTGCATTATAGTTTTAATATTTTTCATTAATAAACAACAATATTGCTACTTTTCTAAAGTAATAAGGATAAAGTTAAAATTTGTGAAAGTGCAAGGTTGTGTCTATCAAACGAGTTCAGAAATTAGAAGTTTCAATAACTTCCAGATAAAATAAGATTTTTATCAAATTTTCGTATGAAATGCTATAGCAACATATAAGTCATGAAATTATGCAGAAAATTTGAGTAAATATTAACTTCAAATCTGTGTCTAAGCACCTTTAATATTTTTATATACCAGTATTTAAAAAAATGGGAAATGATATCAGGTATCAGAAAGTAGAAATGATATGCTATGAAATCATGTATTTTTGATAAGTTAGCTTTAAAAATCTCTGTACTTCAGGTGCCTGTGCTTGGGATTTGTGGTTTATTACAAGGTAATATGTGGTTTAATACTAGTAAAAAATTGATAAGCTGTAAAGATTAAAGTAAAAAAAAAAATTTTTTAAAAATTCAAAAGAAAGTGACTTTAAAACTGTTACAAGTCTGAGTTATTTATTTGTTATCTTAGACTAATTTTATGCCTTTTTTTGGGGGGGGGGGGGGGGGGTTACTAGAAGCAGCCATTATCTGCCTTTTTTATTTTCATTCTCACGAGATCAAAATTCGTATTTGACATGTGACTTTCAGTTTCTGTGAGGAATTAATGTACACAAATCATTGCAGTTGAAAGTAATGACAATTTCTTGCAATATAATTACATTGTTATCAAAATGCATCAAAACTTCTTTCAGATTAAATTGTTTTTAAAGGTAGGTTTTCAATTATAACTTGTTGGAATTTTGTCAATATAAAAACATTTCAAAGAGAAAATGGCACAAATCAGAGCCCACTCTGTGTAACAATGATGCAAAATTAAATCCATTTATCCAGTTATTTGCTCAACTTGGCCCTAAGTATTGTCCCCTAACATAAAAGTCAGAAGATGCTTTTAGTGTCATGAGAAAAATGCAGACTGAGTTGAGACATGCTTGAATGGTACACTGTACTATTGACATTCTTTATACAAAATTCAACATTCTGGAGATTCTTGAGAACACATGGCCATAGGAACCAAGGGGGCACGGGGGGGCCATGCCCCCCAATAATTTTGCCGATATATAGATTACTATAGGAAACATAGATAATATATGCTTGTGCCCCCTCAATAAAAACGGCTGATGATGCTTTTTTTTTTTTTTTTTTTTGCTTGTCAAGGAATTTTTGGTAGTTGATGACTTTTTTTTTTTGTTTGCTTGTCAGCAAATTTTTGGTAGTGCCCCCTCAACTGTCAACTGAAAAATGTATGGCTGTGCCCCCCCCCCCCCCAAACTGAAATTGCTTCCTACGGGCCTGGAACATGAAATTCTAAAAGCTCCAAAAGTTGTTTGCAATAAGTAATAACACAGTCACTTGATACTATTGTACATTTGTTGATTTGAATTTCATGATAATATAATAGTGTCACAACTACATGTCTGACTACATTTTAGTGTTCCATTTTTCTTGTACTTAAAACTGTCAAAATTGATTAGAAATATTTTAAAAGGAGAGCAAATTTTTAAAAATGGCATTAGATATCATCAGTAGGAATTAAAGTTCAGAGAAGCTTTATATTTCAATCTTTGATTTGAAGCCATCATCAGAGAGCTTTTTTGTACTCCAAGTATCACCTTCAAACATTTATGACACCTGACAAGAATGCATGTTATTGCTTTCCTCAGATTACTAATCATGCTTTATGAAAACTATAAGTTTTTAAATGTTGATTCTTTTAATTTCCTTCAGGACAAAACCTGCAAATCCTATGTCATCATCCTTCACTGAATAAAACCATGGCAAAAACATTAAGAAACATGAAGAGAGGCAGATTGATATCACTATGGAAACATGATTTTATAAATAACAAATCAAGATGTACAGAGCCATTAGCTTTTCTTCAAGGAATAAAGAAGGAATACACTTCCTGTAGGGTAATGTGCACAAAAACAGACTCCAAGGAGAAAGGATACATCTATATAGACAATAAAATGTCATCAGAGGCCATTGAAAACTCAGCGTGGGTCTGTATTTGAACATCTACACTAATATTTTCTTTTGAATATTGCTGAATAAATTTAATGTTCATTATTTGCAAAATTTTTGGTTTAACCAAGTCTTTAAAAGAAACAATCTGATTTCAGGCTTGTCGGTTAGCAAATGAAAATGGTAAGTTTTCATTCATCTCTAAGACTTTAAAAACCATTGTCATTGTATTTTAAATTCAAAATCTAATATTTATTTATTGAAAGCAATTATTTCATATGTCCATTCTAAATTCTCTTATAAATAAAAATATCAGAGAAATGTAAAAAGTTTTTGATTTGTGGAGGGAGAGTTGCACTATTTTATGTTAGATGTGTGGTATTTTGTACAGGATATCTTTCTTGGTGTCGAAATTCCTACCTGATGACTGGTGTCGGAGTGGGAATGTTGTACAAAGGACAGACAGCTGTGGCTGAATTGGCTGGTTACTGTGAGTATTACATTAAAGTACAACCAGAAATTCATTAATGGGGTTGACATAAGCATTGTTTCTATACTAAATTAAAAACTTAGGACATAACCTACATAATCTCTATCGGATATTTTTCATTTATTTTGTGAATTACTTCTGATATAGGATTGTAGTGGAAGTTCTTTTTTTACTTTTCAAGTCTTCATATTTTTGCACAGCATCCATGTTGCTGGCAGGAGTCAATGTATCATGGGGAACCTATATATTTATTTACAACCTGATTTTTCTGAAGGACCGTGTAGGAATGACAGGAGGTTTCGTTGCTCTTCAGTCACTTGCTGCCATCTTACATGCCATAGTATATGTCATGGTACTTATTGTTTTCGCAGCTGAAAGTGACAAATATTTCCAAAAACACTCAAAGGAAAATCAAATCAAAAATGACTAAGGTTAGGTGATGTGTAATACTTTATGTATCTTGTCATCTGATGTTTTAGAGTATATTACATGTATAATATTATATGTCCTTGAATGTGAGTACTACGCTATTTAATAAATTTTTAAAGTATGTATGATGAATGTTGTAGCTGAAAGCATATCAAATATTTTGCTATGAATTGCAATGTGGACAGCTTATTTAAAAATATGTAAGTTATCTCTTTTATTGAATAACTTTCTAAACTAAGAAAAAAATGTAGATCTGTATGGGTTTTTTTTTTTGTTTTCTTTTTATTGGAAGGTGCAATAAAGTTCTGTATGCGATGAAGTTCATTTATAATTACATGTGTAAGCAAAATTGATATGAGTAAAGGCTTCTGATTCAATAATGGAACAAGTTGAGGGTTCAATACATCCTAAGGAACCTCACTTTGTTCTCCTACTTGGTTTGAAGTTGGCCTGTCTGCATAATTAAACTTCAGGCTCAATCTAATACCTAAAAAATTTCCAAAGAATGCCAAAGTTGTGAAATTTCTTTATTGAGGCAAGAGATATAGTCTCATATTGGGGCACAATTCCAATTTTTTTAAAAAAGCAAAACATCTAAATCAGTCTTTTGAGGTCACTTGAGTAACTAAGGTGACCTATTCCTATCTGATTCGGTCTGTCATCATCTATCATGCCTTGGTCATAAGCCTTTGAATATTTTCAGCTTCTTCACATAAACCTTATAACATTATTCCATGGTTTCAACTAATTTTGGTATAGAGTATCAATGGGCAAAGGGGGATAAAAATTATTTATCATATACTTAGTAGTAAATACACCGATTCTGCACTGCACGATACGGCTGACATCACAATACCCCATATCAAGGACCGGTCCAAAAATCCATATCAAAGCGGAAGTAACATTTGTATAAAGTTTAAAAGTTAATTAACTTGATTTTATTTAAATATACATGTATAATAATTCTTAACTAACATTTGTGGACTTATTTGTTTTCAAAGACCTAAAGTTGGCTCATTTAGATTTTAAAGAAAAAGGTCATAAACATGCACGAAACATTCTTCAATGACTTTATGTGAACTCGCATATTAAGTATTTTAAATATATGATAAATAGAATTCTACATACTGAAATCCATATCATATGTCATATCAGCCCTCGGGCCCCATATCAGCCCTCAGGCCTTCGGCCCTTGGGCTGATATGGGGCCACTCGGGCTGATATGACATATGATATGGATTTTAGTATGTAATATTCTCTATGAATTTCATGGTTCCTGCCTCTCTTGTGCCTGAGGGGTGGGGCTAAAACCATCAAAATTCATGCAATTTTCAAAAATCTTAACTCATGAACATCAAGCAGTAAAACTATTGACATGATTACAACAGATAATTAGTCCTTAACCAAAATTGAAAGAATCATGGTCCCAGGGTCAGGGGTTCTGAAGTTAGGGTGAGGGCATTATTGATCAAAGTGTGAAAATGCATTCATTTCTTTGAAAATCTTCTTGTCTGCCCTATGTTATAAGCAGACAAACTATGTACCTAGATATAATAAGCATGGGTGGCTCTTTCAAAATTGTGAAATTAATGACCCCTGGGTCAGGGGTTTTTGTGTTAGGGTGGAACTTTATTTATTATATAGCAAAAATGCATATTTCTTTGAAAATTTTCTTCATTGCTCATAGGTGATTAGAAGATAAGTGCATGGTCATGATAAGCTAAGGTGCCTCTTCCAAAAATGTGACTTTCATGGCTGCTGTGGGTCAGAGATTAGGGTATAAGGCTATATTGGTTATAGTGAAAATGCATTATTTCTTTGAAAATCTTCTTCACATTTCCTGGGTATTTAGGAAATTAAACTATATGTAAGTGCATGGTCATGATAAGCTAGGGTTCTTCTTCCAAAGTTGTGAAGTTCATGGCCCCCAGGTCAGTTTTCATGTAAGGATGATTGATCATATAGTGAAAATGCATAATTTCTTTAAAATTCTTCTCTGCCTCAGGGTATTAAGTACACAGACTAATTGCATTGTAATGATGAACAAGGATGTCTCTTCCAACACTTTAAAAGTCATAACCCTTGGGTCAGAGGTTTTGGTGTTGGGGTCGAGTTCTATTGATTATATCATGAAAATACATTATTTCTTTTAAAATCTTCTTCTATGCCCCATTGATATATTGCACACATACTAAGTGCATGGTTTAGATGAGCAAGAGTGCCTCTTCCAAAATAGTGAATTTCATAGCACCTGGGGGGTAAAGGTCTCTGGTGTTAGTGTGAGGTTCTATTGATTACTAGTATATTGTGAATTTTTATTACTCCTTTCATAATCTTTTCTGCTTCTGGGTATTAAACAAACAAACTAAGTGTATGGTAATGATTAGCAGAGTTGCCTCTTTCAAATTTGTGAAATTCATGACCCCTAGGTCAGAGGTTCTAGTCTCATGTTATGGGACCCTATTGATCATACAGTAAAGATGCATTAATGCTTAAAAAGTCTTCTCTGCTCCTAGGCATCTAGGAGGCAAACAGAGTACAAAGTTGTAATGAACAAGGGTGTTTTTACCAGATTTGTAAAATTGTGGATGATTGGATCAAGTGCTCTTTTGCTGGGCAGGGCTTTATTGAATTTGTAGGGAAATTTGCACTCTCTACTGAAAGATGTGATTCCCCTAAATTCACCCAAACTCAATAAATTGGTGCAATTCAAGATATTTTTTCTTCAAAGATCGACTTTTTTTTTTTATCAAAAGTCGATCTTTGAAGAAAAAATTTGATTAACAAATGTCAAAAGAAATCATAATTTGAACTGCATCATATATATCATCGTGTCATATTTTCCTTGAATTGTACTGTATGTACAAACGGATAAGAAATATATGTAAAATTGTCTGTATAGACGTTTTAACAGAACCTAAAATAATGTAAATAACAATTTTTCTGATGACTTTTAGCTTGAAATCATTTAACCATCAATGGAAACTTCCTTCGTATTTCTGCTTGGGTCAATGCCATAGTTCAACTAAAATAAAATGCTGAAAGGTACGTTACTTAACATAAAATGCGAGTTTAACAGTATCAAAATTTTAAGAGAGAAACAAAAAACCCTGATGTAGATTCAGAATAGAAACTCAAGCCTTTGTTTAATCAATTTCATATGATTCAAACTAAAAATGTCTCTCAAAATAATTTAAGTTAATGTTTTTCTTCAGAATTAATGTGTGTGTGTTCAATAATGCGTCTCTAGAATCAGTTTATAATAAAATTTATGCAACTTAAGCTTAAAATGATACAAATCAATCAATACAGTTTATATTCGAACAATTAGTCACGAAAAAAATTCTGTAAATATTGTTGCAATTTTCATATATGATTTGTTAAAAATTTCGTAACATTCGTTACCTTCGGTAAGGAATGTTTCAACACCTTTCAAGACTAATAGAGGACATTCAGGTGTAGATTGAAACTGGGTACGTAGTTGTTTTCAGTTGTTATATATTTATCAACAGTTACATACTAATTCATTCCATTTAATTCATTGTTATTGCATTCTAGAAAACAAACTCACCAACACTGTCTAGACTTTAGAAAAAAAATCATAAAAAGGCAGTACTGTACTCCGGATGTCAAAATTTGAATACTGGCGCAAAATATTTGACCACGTATATGTGCAGAAGATGTTTGAACTCATAAATCATTCTTTTTTAAGAGGTTTGGTAACTAATGTTTCGGTAACGATTGTTTCATTTAATCATTTTCTCTTAAATAATAAACTAACAATAAGACATTATTAAATCATGGTTGGAGCATGGAATACAGTTCTTGGATAGAAGAAAAAGTATCACATGTTTAGCCATGATATCATCCTATTTCATCTATTAAACTAATACAACGAATGTTTCATGCCTATATCCATACGCATTTAAAAGAAGTTTTCTTCAAAATAAAAAACGTATTCCAATCTTACAGGCTTACAATACGGATACTCATACTATATTTAATGTCACAGTCCGTTTTTATTCTGTTTTTGGCGACATAGGGATATCAAATCAAAGTTTGATAATATATTTGTGATTATGCTCAATAATTTATTAAAGCATTTTACAAATAAATGTTTTGAAGACATATGCTATCTAATTTAAGATTGAACTGTTATTTGTACAAAAAGTAGCCATTTAAGTGGAATTATTCGATGTTGGCGACAGTAATGTTCCTTTCAAAAAATCATTATACTAATATGCCAAATAAAATATCTCAATATGATTTGTTCACTCCATTTTTGTATCTTTGCCTTAAAGGTTACATATTCATGCATTCATTCAAAAAGTATTTTCTTTGATATTTCATTATTTTTTTACGCTTAACCCCCAGCGACATCATTTGCACCATTTTATTGAGCTTGAGTGATTTGCTGTTCACCTATGATAATTAATCACAGTAAATAATAGAGAGGTTGAGATCTTAAACTTGTACGTGTGCTTATACTTTGACGTACACGTACAAATTATTGTAATTTGTCTGTTGAGATTTTAATGAAGTGTAACATTTACGTGTACACTGCGATCGTTGTCTCTGTTTCAACTATTTAGAAATGTGATGTCAGTTTGATTTTGGTCAAATTAAACATGGTTAGAATAAGTGCTGATGAAACTAAACATCCTAAATAATGTACAACAACCACATCTTCACACATAAATTGACCAATTTTTACTACAAAGGCTACAACTTTTCACTTACGTGTAGATGCCATTCTACAAGTTCAGCCACAGCCACAAGTTCACCTGAGCACTGTGGCTAAGAAAAAAGCGGAAATTTATCAGTTCAGTATTGAAAAGTTTAAATGCATAAGTGGTCCTGACCTACCCTTAAAGGGGAAGGGGTATGATTTGAACGAATTTGAATCTACACTAACTAAGGGTGCTTGCGTATTTCTTTGACTAACTATGGCTTTTTCCCTTTGAGTTTGAACTTACATTGTGATCCATTCCTACCCCCGGGGTCATGATTTGAACAAATCTGAATCTACAGTACCTGAGGATGCTTCCATATAAATATGACCAATCATACCTTTGCTGTTCTAGAGAAAATATATTTTTGAATATTTTTACTACATATTCCTTTATGTAAAACTTTGATCGTCCACCTACCCTACCCCGGGGGTCATAATTTGAACAAACTAATGAATCTACACTGTCTATCTTTTTCTGAGGATGCTTCCATATAAATATGACCAATCATGGCTTTGCTGTTCTTAAAAGAAGATTTTGAAAGATTTTCCTATATATTCCTCTGTAAAACTTTGATCGTCCATTGTGG